TTTCACTTGAAGTATTGACATACAGTTACTGTTTTATTCATGTAAGTTGGGAGCCTGATCCAGTGGAGGCAGATCCCTTAAAAGGTGGCAGGCATCGGAGGAAGGTTGACATTCTCGGTATGATTGTTGGAATAATTGGTTCAAAGGATCAGCTGGTGAATGAATATCGTGTTATGCTAGCTGAAAAGCTTCTGAATAAATCCGATTATGACATTGACTCAGAGATCCGTACCCTGGAACTCCTGAAGGTCATTTTCAAAGAAAATTTAATGTTTTTGCCACTTTGTGTTCTCTTATTCAACAGGCCTTAGAGCTGAGATACCTCCGTTATTCGGCCGGTGTTTTGATTGCAGATACATTTTGGTGAGAGCAGCATGCAGAAGTGTGAAATAATGCTTAATGATTTAATTAATTCAAAAAGGATAAATACAACTATAAAAGCAAACATCGAACAACTACCTAAGCAAGGTATTATTTTATTCCTACTTTCAATTTGGCAGATTAGATAGAAGGAATTAGTTCTATATGCTTACATGATTTAGGTGATTGGTATGCTGTATGTGCACATAAAATGCAGGTGCTGAGGATGAGTTATCTTTAAATAATCTCAATGCTACCATTATATCATCAAATTTCTGGCCACCTATCCAGGTATGAGTATCACTTCCTAACTTCATTGGTATCAGCTTCCATTCAAAGAAAAGGAATTGTTTTTGAAGTTTGTGGCTTTCACAAAATTTAAAGGTGTTCTCTGCTTTGACATATAGCACTTGTATGTATAATTTACTTCACGGTCACATTTTCCATTGAAGTTTGCTGGAGAATGAATTTTCTACTGGTTATTTGTCTCTTTCAGGATGAGGAACTTAATTTACCAGAACCAGTAAACAAGCTTCTAAGTGATTATGCTAAGAGGTTTAATGAAATCAAGACCCCTCGTAAGCTCCTCTGGAAGAAAAATCTGGGGACTGTAAAGGTCAGTTGCTCATTATTTCAGAATGTTTTTTGAAATAGGAAACTTGGGTTGGATTCTGAAATATTGGCCGTCACATTGGCATGCATTCAGAACTTTGAACTGCTTCCAGTGTCACCCTTGAAATTGGACCCCAGAAAGAGCGAAAATATTTCCTTAATAGAGCGGAAAAAAGGATCTTGTTAGATTATATATTTGTAATATTCCATGACTTGATGGATGCTGAGAAACAAATTATGATTAAATGTTTTCCTGACAATGTCCAAAGTTTGTACTTATTCACCTCTGCAGCTGAGATAAAAATTGTGTCCACTTGCTGCTCAGACCCACATAAATAGTCTCTATTTCCAATTTTTCAGCTGGAGCTGCAATTTGAAGACAAAACGGTGCCATTCACAGTTACACCTCTTCATGCTGCCATCATCAGTCAGTTTGAGGATCAAACAAGGTGATTTATGGAATCCCATTAGTCCATTATAGAGTTGCAGCCTTTATCTTACGTTAAATGTGTGTTGTTCTTTCAGTTGGACCTCCAAGAATCTTGCTGCTGCTGTTGGAGTGCCTGTGGATGTCTTGAATAGAAGAATACATTTTTGGATAAACAAGGTTAACTGCGATACACAGATTTTGAAATTCAACCAATTATATCTAAAACCACGTAAAAAAATTGACGTGTGTGGTCTTTGATTATAGCTTCTTGAGTTTCAAATGGTACTTCCAAGTTTTGTTCTATCATTCCTGTGGGTTAACTACAAGAATACCCCTGTAGTTTGTTATATTCATAGGAAAATCAAAATCTCTCTCTCTCTCTCTCTCTCTCTCAAAAAAAAAAA